CGCCCCATCCTCAGGGTCAGCTGCCCCAAGGTCACCCCTCACTGCACCCTCCTGTCTGCTCAGTGATGCTCAACACTGCGGCTCTTTGACCCCAGATACTAGGATTACAAGCCTGGAAGGAAGGGGGGCTGGGTTCCTCCTTTCTGAGATCCTCCCTCCTGAAGGCAATTCCAGGCAAAATACCTTTAAAAACAAACAAACAAACAAACAAACAAACAAGGCAGCAAGTAGAGCTCAGACTTCCTTTAAACTCCTCAGTCCATCTTCACAATCACCTTCTGAGGGCCCTTTGAGGCCCCACACTTGAGTCTGACCAGACCCACCCGCAGCCTCTCAGGTCCCTGGACCCCATCAGGGGCTCGTGGCTGACGGAACGTGGCTGAGGTCTACACGGTGGTGGATTCCAGGGACCCTCACCCGGGGATTCACTGCCTTGGGAGACCTCTTGTGACCTGACCAAGGTCTTTGGGGCTAGGATGAAGTCACTAAAGGAACTGCAAGTCATGTTGGGACAGGTGGCAGCCAGCTGGGTTTCCAAGCGGAAGAGGGTGAGGAAGGGGCAGGAAGTGAGCCTGGGAAGATGGACTACAGAACAGGGGTGGCTGAAAAGAAAGCAAACCACGGTGGGATAGGGCAGAGAATCGGGGCTTGAGGAGGAGAGTCAAACACTGGCTCATCGCAGGCCTGGGTGAGAGGAAATGAGAAGTGGCCAAAAGCCAGGACTGACCAGGATTTCTTAAAGGAAACTAAGAAGCTGCCAGGTCATATTCCTTGGGTTCTGCCTGGGAGCCCACCATCAGGCCCCCTCCCTCTGCCTGTGGCCCCAATTACCAAGGCAGCCAGGGCTGAGACTGGGACTGATGCCCTAATACCCCTCTCAGCCTTGGAAAGCCTAACACCCCTCCAGCCCACGGAAACACTCGGCCCGGCCCCCACCAGGCCCCAAGGCCCACTCACCATGCCTGGCACCCAGGTACAGAGAAGCTTAACGAAGGCAGTTTATGCATAAACGTTACAGAAGAGCATTTCCTGGCCGGGATTTTTGAGAAGGAGCCAGAGACAGTAAGAAGGGATGTGGTCCCTCCCAGGAAGGCACTTCTAACAAGGCCTGGGGCGGAAAACGAAAGGACGCATTTGGCAAGTGATCTGTGAGCCCACACAAGGGTCGTGAGAGGGGCTAACCCCACAACCACAGGCAGGCCCCTCGGGAAAGGGTCAGCCTCCTCCAGATCCCACTACCAGCCTCTGAGGTCCCGGCTCCCATCTGGGCCCCCCAACAACCATAGTACTCAGGGCTCAGGTAGCTGCTGGCAGAGCACCAAGTACCCCCCTTCTGTGTGTCCTGAATGCACCCCAAGGCTGGGCTCAGGAGTGCCTGAGCTTCGGGCCCCCAGCACACCTCTCTGGCCTGCCGTTGGCCTCCTGGAAGGCTACCTTTCACTGGCATCATTACCATCCTCCTGGGCCTCCCCCCTCCCCCCTCCCCCCCATACTCCTTAATCCTCCCAGACCCTCTTCTCGGACATTCTCATCCTCCCCCATGGCTTCAGCTGCCACCTTGGGGGCCCAGTCTCATCAGCCTAGATCTCTCCCCTAAGCTCCAGACCTGATGATCAAACCTGGCCAAACATGCATGTCCCATAAACCCTCACACTCAACAGGTCTGATCATCTTCCTCTTTCCACCAAACCTCCTCCTCCAACATGCCCCCACTTCAACAGCGCCACCCGTGACGCCTCAGATTATCCTGGTGAGACTCCAGCACCAGGCTCCCGGCTCCCGGCTTCTGCCGTGTCTCTCGACGTCTCCCTGCCCCTGCCTCGCCCTCCGTGGCCCACCAGCCACTCTGTCACCAGAGCCAGGCTCCCAGTCACTAAGATCCAAGTGAAATACAAACAATTAGACGAAAAGGTGACTTAAGAACATAAAGGCAAAAACATAGGAAGAGGGCAGGCAAGGCACAGTGCCCAACCTCACACACAGCCCTTTTGTTTCATACTGAGAAACCAGGGTGCCTCTTCTGTACGATGAAGATTTACCACACATTTTCTGTTCACTTAAGACTCTCTCGAGAAAAGATTAATAATTTTACAAAGTCGGAGGAGGGAGGAGGGTGGCAAAGTGTTTAGGAAAAAGCAGTAACAATAAAACATTCCTGTCTCCCACGCAGACAAAACCCCTGGGGGGGCTTCAGCGATAGCAGCAAAGGCCGGCCCCTCTCTCGTTTGCGCTGTGGGGCTGCTTTGTGATCCAGACACCAAATCCCACTAGGCAGAAAAGCACAACACAAGCCTACTTATTATTTTCAAGGGAGAAGGGAAAAATCTAAAAAGGCAACGAATTGCAAACTTCCTTGCTAATCGCCGAGGATGGGAGAGGCTGTCGGAATCTAGTACTTTTTCTCTCCATCTGGTCTTAAAAAAACAGAAATTAGATACTCTGGTTCAACAATAGCAAGAAGGATTAAAAAAAACAAAACAAACAAACAAACAAAAAACCCAGAATCATTGTCTAAAAGCCTGGCCCTTTCCACCTGTCAGATCATCCGCCCTCCCTATTAGGCCGGCCTGCTGCCCACCTTGCCATCTTGCTCTAGGAGAACCAAGCTGTTTGTTCCACATTTCCCTAACACACCGTGCCTTTACCCACATTGTTCCCTCTTCCTGGCATGCCCGTTCCATTGTCCGTCTGGCAAACACTCAATAAGACAAATCAAATGTCTCCTCCCTTTCCGAAGGCTTTCTGACCGTCTGACCCCTGGAGACCACTTTTTCATTTCTGCTCCCCTTTTCCTCATAGAAGTATCTGTTAAAGTACCTGTAACCCTTCAGCCTTCAGATCTGCTTCCCCTGTAGACTACAAACCCCTTGTGGGCAGGAAGCATGTCACCTTCCTCATCTTAGTATTCTCAGACCTAGCTCAGTGCCTGGTAAAAAAGAAGTCTTTAACAGGGGCGCCTGGGTGGCTCAGTCAGTTAAGTGTCTGCCTTCAGCTCAGGTCATGATCCCCGGAATCGAGCCCCATGTCGGGCTCCCTGCTCAGTGGGGAGCCTGCTTCTCCCTCTGCCTGCTGCTGTTTGTACTCTCTTTCTGACAAATAAATAGATAAAATCTTTTTTAAAAAAGTCTTTAACAAATGTCTATGGAATGAATAAATATCTAACTGAGCTCTTGGCTTTCAAGCAAACTATTCAAATGATCCTAGTCTCGGTGCCCTAGCAACCCAGGTCCAGGGTAGCGTAGCCCAGGAGTGCTAAGAGTGTGGCCCCATGGGCGCCTGGGTGGCTCAGTCCTTAAGCGTCTGCCTTCGGCTCAGGTCATGATCCCAGGGTCCTGGGATCGAGTCCCACATCAGGCTCCCTGCTCGGCGGGAAGCCTGCTTCTCCCTCTGACCCTCTCCCCTGCTTGTGTTCCTGCTCTCGCTGTCTCTCTGTCAAATAAATAAATAAAATAAAAAAAAAAAAAGTGTGGCCCCATGAACAAATCATCTGTGTTGAAGGGCACTAATTATGCTTACACAGGTCCAAGTGCAGGGGCTTGGGAGGAGCCGAGAACAGCAATGTTCACATGTGGAAAGACAACCTCAACAAGAAAGCAAGTCCAGTCAACTCTCTCAGTCATGTTGATGGAGGAAAACGATGCAGCAAAAAAATTCCAACCAGTGGAGAATCCACAGATCAACATCATTAAGCCTTGAGACATGTATTATTTCATTGCAGCAAATTGGTCTTCCAGATTCCATTTGGCTCAAGCTACATCCATATAATAAAAGATGATAGGTATCTAATGCAGGGCTTTATGAAGCTTAACACATGGTAATGTAGAGACCTGGGTAGGACAGGAAGTTCCCCTTACCTGGCACAGTCCTGGGGTGCCTGCCTAGATGGCTCTTGCAGCTCCCCTTCCTGATGTTGGTGGAAACCAGGACTACAGAGAGGACCCAAGGCTGACCCAAGCCTTGACCCAAGGCTGCCCCAGCCAGGCCAAAGCCGGAATGGGCACTGGTAGGTTTTCCACGTCTCAGCCCTTTGTCCACAGCCTGCAAGTGGCTTTGCACAGCCACCTGCTCCCCTGTGCCCTCAGCTATGCCTGGCATTACCTAGGAACCAGACTCCAACTAACTAGGAAGGGCAAAATGTGAAGAAGGGGGAAACCCAGCTAAGATGAGGGAGGCCCGGGAGAGGTGGGGCAGTGGCAACCTTTCCATCTACCAGAACACTGGCTAGTGTGAACTCCGCTGCACCAGGAAAGGAGAAACCATGGGCAAAGGGAGCAGCATGCTCTGACCCCGGGGTTAAAGAAATGAGGCAGAAAGGAGTTCAGAGCTGCACGAGGAAGATGGCTCTGGTCTGGGATGGCTTGAGCCCAAATTTCCCTTTCCCCCTTTCCATTCAGCAGGCTTCCTTCCCACCCCACAGTCTCTTCCTGGTCCCCCTGCATTTCCCCCCACTCCCCCAACTCCAGAGAACCCCCGCCCATACACTCACGCACAACACACAACACCTATCCTGTGTGATCCACAACTCACTTCAACCTCTCCCACTCTCCAGCCCCAATTTCTTCCCCCAAACGGCCTGCCCCTCCTTCTGTGTCTCCCTATCACCTTTCAGAGTCTGGCCCCTAATTCCGTTTTCCATTTGTCCTTTCCCAGCCCACAGGCTTCCCCCCCCAAGGGGGTACTTCCTGCACTAGGCTCGCCTCCAGGCACCTGCTAGGGGCCAGCCACTTAACATTGACCCCTCCCCTCAAGCCCCCAGCGACTCATTCCCCGCCCCCCGCCTGGGCGGCTGCAGTCCCTATACCTTTAACAAACCTCCACGTGCGTGTTAACGGCGGTGACAGCATTTCCTTGTCTCTCTGCTCCCGCCCCCGGAGGCGCCGCCCATTGGCCACTGGGTTCCTCTGTTCTCGCTCTAATTGGCCTCGCTCCCGGACAGCTCCAACCAATGGCCTCTCCGCGCCTGTCTCCCTCCTCCGACCCTGAGCTCCCATTGGCTCCGAGGACTTAGGACCTGTTAGCAGGGCCTGGCGACTGGCGAATTCTTCCTTCCCCCGGGTAAACTCCCGGGCTGAGAAACTGGTTCCGAACCCAACTGAACCCAGCGCTGGGCAACGCCGGGTCACGTGGCTGGCGGCCTCATGACGTGCAGGCTGCGAGGCGTCACCGTGACGTTCGGGCGACCTGCCGAGTGGCCTCGCTACCTCCACCACCTGTGCGGAGGCGGTGGCGTGATGGACCTGGGCCCGATGCGCAAGAGTTACCGCGGGGACCGAGAGGTGCGGCCACCGGGGCAGGGCCTCCCGCTGGGAGGGGTCCCCGAGTCATCCCGCGAGGGGAGGAACCCCATGGGGTGGGTTTGGGGTCACCCCGTAGGAGAAGGGGGTGCCAAGACAACCAATGGGGGGAGGAAGGGCTCTGGGGAAACAAGGATGAAGACAGGCAGCGGGTTGCAGTGGGTGAGAGCGCGAGCTCTGCGGGCGGCCCGGGGTGGGATCCTGCCACTCACGGGGTGCATCACTTGGGTCATTAACAGCCTCTCTGGGCCTCAGTTTCCTCACCTGGGAAGTGAGTACCTAACTCGCAGGGATGTTGTGGACTTTGATATTTGCAAAGTGCTTAGAACAGTGATAATCAGCTTCTAAATATTTGATAAGTAACACATGGGGGAGGGGTACTGACTCACGGAGGGAGGGGAGGAGAAAGCTCCTAGATCTCACTGCTGTCAGTCCTTTCCCTTACTTTTCGGAGAAGTTCTTTTCCTTTTCCTTCCTCAGAGGAGAAACCAACAGAACTCTTTTGGAATTGACGCTGGAGCTGCAGTTTCTAAATCTAGCTGTGTGTGAGCATTTCCAGAAATACTTGTTAAACACGCAGTTTTTCACTGAACCTCAGACCTACTGAGAATTTGTGGGGGTGGAGCTGAGGAATATGGCTTTTTTTTTTTTTTTAATGCTCCCCAAGTGATAGGTTTGACACTCATGACATGAAACTCTGATTCATCCATCACTACTGTGGGACGTGGCGAGTTACGCCACGTTTTTATGCCTCTGTCCTCACCTGTAAAATAGAGCTAGCAGAACCTACTTCCTGGGTACTGTTTTTTGTTATGAAAAGTGCCTGGAAGAGTACCACATACACAGTAAGAATTATATGTGTTTATTAAATAAAATCTCCTTTCCCAGGCATTTGAGGAGACTCAGCTGACCTCCCTGGACCCCATGAAGCAGTTTGCTGCCTGGTTTGAAGAGGCTGTTCAGTGTCCTGACATAGGGGAGGCTAATGCCATGTGTCTGGCTACCTGCACCAGGTGGGCATAGCCGTGGGCCTTTCTGTGGGTGGGTACAGGTGAAGTAGGAAACTTAGGAAGCTCTCAACTTGGTGGAATGCAAATTTATGGTTATAGCTGTGTTACTAACATGCTGTGTGGCCTCAGACAAGTTACTTGTCCTCTCTGGGCCTCGGTGTCCTTATCTGTAAATCAGAGATTAGACTTCACTTAATTCCATTTCAGTAATAAAATGTAGTGCCTCATTCATCTCTGCCCCTAATGCACTCACCCCCAGAACCCTTGTCTCCCTTATTTCCCCATTTACCCAATTCCCATCTGTCCTTTAAGAGCTACATCTCCTGGAACCTCTCCATAAAGCTCTCTCCCTCTCCTGAAATCTAGCACAGTGCTCGGCTGTATTATTTATTTGACAATCATATACCCCTGAGACACCTCTTACAGTAGCTGTTATTCAACTCTTTTCCCCCCTCATTAAAGTGTAAGGCCTTGGGGCGCCTGGGTGGCTCAGTCGGTTAAGCATCTGACTCTTGGTTTCGGCTCAGGTCATGATCTCAGGTTCTTGGGATTGAGCCCCGCTTCAGGCTCCCTGCTCAGCTGGGAGTCTGCTTCTCCCTTTCCCTCTGCTCCTCCCACTCCCCCCCAGCTTGCAAGCACACGCGTGCTCTCTCTCCAATAAATAAAATCTTTTTTAAAAATATTTTATTTAGGGGCGCCTGGGTGGCTCAGTCGTTAAGCGTCTGCCTTCAGCTCAGGTCATGATCCCAGGGTCCTGGGATGGAGCCCTACATCAGGCTCCCTGATCTGCGGGAAGCCTGCTTCTCCCTCTCCCACTCCCCCTGCTTGTGTTCCCTCTCTCGCTGTGTCTCTCTCTGTCAAATAAATAAAATCTTTAAAAACAAAAAAAAGATTTTATTTATTTGAGAGAGAGAGAGCACGAGTGGGGGTAGGGGGGAGAGGGGAAGCAGTCTCCCCCGTGAGCAAGGAGCCCGATGCGGGGCTCGATCCCAGGACTCTGGGATCATGACCTGAACTGAAGGCAGATGCTTAACGGACTGAGCCACCCAGGTGCCCCTAAATAAAATCTTTAAAAAAAAAAAGTGTCCTCTGAAAAACAAACTGAGGGTTCTAGAGGGGAGGGGGGTGGGGGAATGGGTTAGCCGGGTGATGGGTATTAAAGAGGGCACATTCTGTGTGGAGCACTGGGTGTTATGCACAAACAATGAATCATGGAACACTACATCAAAAACTAATGATGTAATGTATGGTGATTAACATAACAATAAAAATTATTAAAAAAATTAAAAAAAAACTGTCAGGCCTTGAAGGCAGAGCTCTAGTACTGTGCCCCTGGATATCCCCCAGAGCTCTGAGCAGAGGTCCTAATGTAACTACCCTTTCTGTGATCACTAAGCATTGGCTGATTGCGTGCTGAGAGCGGTGGGGGGTGGGGGGGGAGAAGGAGAGAGAGAGATATAGATTATCTTTTCTGGACACCAGGCCTATTGGATTAGAGTCTCATCTTTATGACCTTATTTAATCTTAATTACCTCCCTAAAAGCTCTATTTCCAAATACAACCACATTGAGGGTTAGGGCTTCAACCTAGAATTTTAGGGAGACACAGTTAGTCCATAACAGGTCCCAGGCAGTGATGACATGCACCTCTAGGACAAATCCCCAGGGTGGGGGGAGGGGGGTGGGGGGAATGGGTAGCCTGCATGCCCAGACAGTGCAGAATAAGGGGGCACAGGTGTGGGGAGCTCAGGGGAGCACCTGGGGAGAGGGGTGGTAGCAAGGACAGTGATGTGGGTTCTGACCACACGCTCTGGTCTTTGCCCCAGAGACGGAAAACCCTCTGCCCGCATGGTGCTGCTGAAGGGCTTTGGCAAGGACGGCTTCCGCTTCTTCACTAACTTCGAGAGTCGGAAGGGAAAAGAGCTGGTGAGGGGCCTGCAGGGGCCAGCCCTGGCTTCCTTCATCACCCTCCGGTGCCACCCCCGCCCCAACCCATTTGCTGGCTGTGCTCAGGCACTGTCCTGCCTGTGGGCCTTGGCACTTGCCCTTCTCTTTGCTGTGAATGAGTGCTCTGACCACGCCGCCTCTGTCATCTGCTTCCCTAAGTAGCTCCTGTCCCTTTGGCCCTAAGCCCCCATGTTGCCTCCTCGGGAAAGTCCTCGATCCCCATGCTACATCAGCTGTTCACCTTCGTGGTAACTCATAACTTTACTTTCTGCCTTTTTTTCAGTTTATAAGTGTGCATTTGTTTGTGTGCTTATGTGATGGATATTTGTCTCCTCTGCTAAACACCCAGTAAGCTCTGTGGGGGCAGAGGCTGCATCCGGTGTACCCCTGTTGTCCCCCCAGCACCTCTCCTGGTGTCAAGCCCAGAGTTGATACTTTGTGTACATTCGATTCATGAATCCAAAGGACTCCCCGAGTCCATGCCGGCCGCAGATGCATTTTTGAGGACTTGCAAATCTATGGATGAGAGAAATGGCAAGCCTCACTTTGGTGTCCATCTGGCTTAGGTTTTCAGCACGGCTCTAGCACTTCCTGTGTGAACTTGGGCAGGTTCCCTAACCTCTCGGAGTCTGTCTCCACACCTGTAAAAGTAGGCATACCTTTGAGGGTTTAAATGAGATGTGACAGTGAACGCATTCCCTGCGGCCCTGCCTGCTGCAGACTTCCTGCCTCCTTTCTGCATGGTGGAGGTGTTCTCCCTGCTGTTTGGATGGCCGACTGTGAATTCTCTTTCATTTCCAGGACTCCAATCCCTTTGCTTCCCTTGTCTTCTACTGGGAGCCCCTCCACCGTCAGGTGAGTGAGCATTCCCAGGACAGCCTGGGGCTCGTTATGGGTGAGCCCAGTGGAGGGCCCCAGGCTGGGCAAACAGCCTGCCTCTCAAATAGCTTCTTAATGAGCTGGTCTAGTTGGAGCCAGCAGTGGTGGGGCAGTGGAGAAGGGAAGAAAGAGAGGAAGGGGGCCTGTGTTGGGGGGGGGCAGATGGCATTGAATGCCAACTAGCCAGGGCCATCCTTGAGCAGGTGCGCGTGGAGGGCTCCGTGAAGAAGCTGCCTGAAGAGGAGGCTGAGTGCTACTTTCACTCCCGCCCCAAGAGCAGCCAGATTGGGGCTGTGGTCAGTCGCCAGAGTTCTGTGATCCCTGATCGGGAGGTGAGTTGGGCTCCTCCTTAGTTCTCTGGGTGGCAGGGGACTCAGCTCATCCTCCAACAGCTGTCCCCTGGGGGTGCCAGGGCCCTGTCTCTCCAGCAAAATGAAAGGATGGTCTCCCTAGGGGAGAGGGGGAAATGGGCTTCCTTTGTCTGACCCTCTGGTTGGACTGTGCTCCCAGAGGAGGGGAGGCCAGCCTCCCTTGCTCACCTGCGTCCCCAGTGCCTGGCACACAGCACATTGCTTAGTAAATGGTTATTAAGTGATCACTGACCCGGTCTGGGCCTTTCTCTATTTCCTTCCCCTGGACAGTATCTGAGAAAGAAAAATGAGGAACTGGAGCAGCTCTACCGAGAACAAGAGGTGCCAAAGCCAAAGTACTGGTGAGTGATATCTGGTGGTCGTCCAGACAGGGGCCCCAGAACCCTCATGTTTACTCAAAACCACTCTATCTGCAGAATTACAGATCTACTCCCCCCACCCCTCACCAGGAATCCTCATTGGATTCATCCCAGCAGCTTCCTTCAAGGGGCCCTGAGATGGGCTGGGGTGGGGACGGGGGGGTGACCTGCTGGAAAAATGCACAGAGCACCAAACCCACTGCTTCTCCTTGAAGGGGTGGCTATATCTTGTACCCACAAGTGGTGGAGTTCTGGCAAGGCCAAACCAACCGTCTGCATGACCGGATCATCTTTCGGCGGGGCCTGCCAACAGAAGACTCCCCTTTGGGGTCCATGACCCACCGTGGGGAGGAAGACTGGCTCTATGAGAGACTTGCACCCTGACTCTCGATCTGCTGGCACCAACTGGAGCTGGGGCCGCGTGCTAAGAGAGGGTGTGGGATGGTGAATGGGACCCTTCTGAACTCAGCCTATTTCCCTCCCCACCCCTTATATTTAAGGCTCTTCAGAGTTCAAGCTCCGAATTCTGTACTTTCAGTTGGCTCTCAAGTAGGTAGTCTAGTGGAGCATAAACAGTGGCGTAGAGAATCACAAATGGGGAAAAAAAAAAAATCCCATAATTATTTTCTTGACCTTGAATACGATTTATTGGAATAGCTCCCTCTAGAGGTAGTAGCTGGTGTGATTCCCTTTTCTAGTGACCCTGGGTGGGCCCCCGTGGCCCTGTCCACTAGGGTATGACTGAGTCATACTGCCCGAAGCTGACTGGTTCCAGCATAAGTACCTGAGCCAATCTGGCTGATCCGTTTTTTTCTTGTCAACAATTTGAAATTTGAAATGGAGAGACCCAGAGCATGAGAGGCATTGTAGCCAAGTCCTACGGTGGCAATGGCAGCCAAGAAGCAAGCCTCCAGGTGCTGTTCCTGTAACTCCCTGAGTGACCTTGGATCCCTCCTTCCCACGTCTGGGCTGTGTAACTCCTCCTCCTGCCTCAAAACATCCATTATCCCTGGTTTTGTTTTGGTTTTTGTTTTTTAAAGGAAGTTTTTGGCTTGAACTAGCCAGAATCACTTTTTGTTGCTTGCAACTAAAGGAAACTTCATTAACTTACTTACTACTAGGGTATTTTTATAGCCCTGTACCCCACTGATAACTGCCTCCTGTTATCTGAAGCACAACAACGTGGAAAAGAGATGAAATGTATTCTCTGGAGCTCCAAAGAACCCAGAAGTGGGAGTTGCATGAACATAGATTTTCCTCTCTCAATTCGGGGAGAGACTTCAGACAACCAGGGCTGCCTAAGAGGGACTGGACTGTTAGGTAGCAAGTGTCTCCAGAAGTTTTCGATCCCTGGTAGTCAGGAGTTTTATAGAAGGGACTTATGTGCTGGTACCTATGAGCCAGGCAGATTTCAATCAAGCTTTACTTAACATATTTGTTTCTGAGAGCTACAGATGTGCATATATACACATACATATGTATATTTCATTTTTCAGGTATAAAATTGTTATAGAGATGATACCTTTCTGACTACTCAGGCATCCCCTTCACCTACTCCCCGCCTCTGTGGATGATGACTCCTAGACACAGGTTTTCATCCATCCTGGAATTACCCAGGGAGCTTTAATCACATGTGATTTCACTGGTCTGAGTGAGATCTGAATTTTGGGTAACTTAAAAGCTCCCCAGGGAATTGTGTGCAGCCAAAAGTTGAGACCCCGGGTCTAGATCTACTCGGTGTGGTCCACAGACCAGCAGCAACACCACTTGGGAGCCCACCTCAGACCCATGAATCCCATTCTGCATTTAATAAGTGCCCCCCCCAGTGACCGGACGCATTGTCCCCAACTTCCACAAACAAACGACCTCCCACCCTCACCACTGGATTCTTCATCAAGCCTGGGCTGAACCGTATTTGCACACTCCTTGAGCACAAGTCTGGTGACAAGGACAACTTGAATGAATGGCCTACAGGCCAGGCTGGGTAAATGTTTGCTGTGACTAAGCCAGAATCTGAGAACTATTATTTGTACGTGTTGGCATGGAACTTGCCAAGTCTGTACACGGTTTCATTCCACTGTGTGGGTGTGTGCTCTGCTTCAGCGTCTGCCATTAAGTGGTTCCTCCAAGGGAGGCCCTCTTGGTGTTGATCCCCCTCATAAGCCCAAGTGCAGGAAGGCACAATGCTAACCCTGTGGCCACTGAAGGAGAGGGTGCTGGGGTGCCCTTCTGTACTTTGTCCCGTTACTGGGAGCTCTGTATCCCCCACCCGCTAGCTCTGAGCCTGCTTTCAGCTGTCCCTTTCCTGTTCTTTGACAATCACTGTGCCAAGTCTGTAATAAAACTTCGTCAGCCGTGTGTGACATTAATGTTCAACCTGGCCTGGTCACATCCTCCCATCCCCCACCAGCCCAGGAAGGAGGGAAGTTGGGGGGGTTAAGGGACCCCTCCCACTTCACTCCTCCTCTCCCTAGAGGTAGGGCGGCCAGCAGGGGGAGCCTGCTGCCCAGGGTTGGCCTCTCCTGGGCAGTGCAGGCCAGTTGGAGCCGGGCCCCTCCTGCCTCCCCCTTACCCCTGTTGGGTCGTGTCCCAGTGAAACTGTGGCCGATAACACGTAGCCTCTCACAGCTCCTGCCCGTATTTGCACTCTCGGTTCCTCCTCCTCTGGCCTCATGAAAGCTTGCAGCTGCCTCCCTCCAACTCCCTGGCCAGCCAGATTGCCCTTTGGCTTTTAGCACACACCCACCCCCTGCCCCCCAGCTTAGGGATATATGTGGGGGTTTCCCTGGAAGATTCCTGCGGACACCACTTAAAGGCTGGAGCAGGATCTCATGCACCAGGCAGAGGGGCCGTAGACCCTCTCACCTAAGAGGGGTAATGGTAGCCGTGTGGTGCCAGTATTGGGTAGAAGCAGGGCTTGGTGGCCCAGGGCCCAGCCTCATTCCCAGCCCCCACCTCTGTCAAGGAACCTCAGGATGGGCTAAAGTGGCAGGCCCCTCTGGTCTGGTGTCTCAGAGGACACTCAGCCTCCGAGCTGGTTAGCTTTCCCCCATTGGTGCCAGAATCAGGATTCCCAGCTCCGGGCATTACCGTCTGCCACCCTACCTCCCCTTCTGCAGAAGGTGACTGGACTGCTTTCTTTGCTCTGAGCCTCAGTTTCCCATCCCCTGAGCAGAAGCGAATCAAGCATGGAGAGGGCTGTGGGCAGCAGTCGTTGCACAGGCCAGCTCTGGCTTCAGTCCCAGCGCCACTGTGGCAAGCAGGTGGCTTCACTTCTCAGCCTCAACTCAGCTGGAAGATGGGGATAATGACAGCACCTGTCTCAGGTGATGAGGGGACTCACCAAGAAACCTCATGGAGTACTTGCCACAGGGCCTGGTCCATTGTAAGCTCTCTGCAAACCCTGGCTATTCACAGTGGACAGGGCTAGAGTAGGGGGGAAGGCAGCTCCTCCATGGGACATTTTATGGATTGGGTAATCAGAAGGACCCTAGAAAGTTCTATGTGGTGGGAGGGATAGGGGAAGAGGCCTTGGGCACGCTTGAACCAGCCTGCCTTCCCTCCCTCCAGCTCCTGGTGGCCCTCACTCATCCTCAGAGTTCCCCCTGGCCTGGGTGAGGCCACCCAACAAAGGTCCCCTTGTACGGGTCTGTTTGTTTTGGTAATAAATTTCCTGAGCAACACTCCCTGGGGTGGAGTGGCCCGACAGCCTGCAAGAAACTGACCTGGAAGCTGCAGGACCACATTGCTTAGTGGCCACCTTGGTTTCTCCCTGTTCCCTCCAAGAGCTCCAGATATGTGTCCAATTTTTTCTAGCTCCCAGCTGCTGGGGCTTGAGAAAGATCTGGACCTAACAGCACAGGAAGCATACTCTTTCCTCTTCCTTAACCAGAAGCTGTGGGCTATGGTGGAGTTCCTTAATAAAGGAAGGGGGAGGAAACCAATATTAACTGAGCACCTACTATAGGACTGCTTATGGGGCACTTAATACTGACCATTCCCACGAAATACATATTATTACAGAAGAGGAACCCGAGGTTCAGAGAACGTTTTTAAAAAAGTATTCCCGGGGCGCCTGGCTCTGATGGTTAAGCGTCTGCCTTCGGCTCAGGTCATGATCCCAGGGTCCTGGGATCGAGCCCCACATCAGGCTCCTGGCTCAGCGAGAAGCCTGCTTCTCCCTCTCCCTCTGCCTCTCTCCCTGCTCATGCTTTCTCTCTCTGTGTGTGTCTCAAATGAATAAATAAAATCTTTAAATAAATAAATAAAAATAAAAAAGTATTCCCCAGGGCGCCTGGGTGGCTCAATTGGTTAGGCGACTGCCTTTGGCTCAGGTCATGATCCCAGAGTTCGGGATCGAGTCCCGCATCAGGATTCCTTGCTCAGCAGGGAGCATGCTTCTCCCTCTGACCCCTTCCCTCTCATGCTCTCTCTCTCGCTCTCAAATAAAATCTTTAACAAAAAAAAAAGTATTGGGCACCTGGGTGGCTCAGTCGTTAAGCGTCTGCCTTCGGCTCAGGTCGTGATGCCAGGGTCCTGGGATTGAGCCCCGCATCAGGCTCCCTGCTCAGCGGGAAGCCTGCTCCTCCCTCTCCCACTCCCCCTGCTTGTGTTCCCTCTCTCACTGTCTCTCTCTCTGTCAAATAAATAAATAAAAATCTTTAAAAAAAAAAAAGTATTCCCCAAATCACCCAGCTACTAAGCGGTGGAACGAGATTTTGAGTCCTGATCCTAAACCAAACACCCACAACTGTGGGGTCAGTCACCAAAGGTCTCCTCCACTCTCTAGAGCCCCTGATGGTCTCTCTGTTGACCACTGAGCTGAAACTAGCCTCTTCCTTTGCTGTATTTTTATACTGACAACCCCCTTTCTTTTTTAATAAAAAAAGATCTTATTTTTAATAATCTATAGACCCAATGTGGGGCTTGAACTTACAACCCCTGGATCAAGAGTCACGTGCTCTACTGACTGAGCCAGCCAGGCACCCCCTGGGGACCCTTCCTGATGCTTGAAAGGAACCCTGAGCACTTCACTTACAGGCAGGGAATAAAGGCATGAGAAACAGTCCTCAGGAAATGTAAGACAAAAGCATAAATAGGTTCTCTGCTTTTGCAGCATTGTTTATTACAAAGAGAGAAACCTACAATTACTATTTTTTTAAACAAAATTCAAAGCTCCAGGACTCATCTCTGGGGCTTGTCCTTCTTAAATACCAGTAGGAGGGGAGAAGAGAGCTGACTGCTTTTAGGTCCTACCACAGCTTCCCTACCTGCTCCCCGAATTTGGACCCATGAGCCAGTGCAGCGTCCCTTTGAGGAGGTGTGCAGGAACCCTTGGGGTCCCTCACCTGGATTTCTGCAGCAGCACCCCTCCCGCCCAGAGTGCCAGCGGCTTCCTCTCCCTACACACCTGGGGGCAAGTTCCAGGAAATTTCCCTCTTGTGGTAGGTGAGCTCAAGTTCAGGGTCTCCGCCTCCTCCAGCTCCAGGAAACCACTCCATCATGTGGCTTCAGGAAAAGTCACGCTCAGAACTGGTCCAGGGAACAGTTGTGGGAGCAGCAGTCGAAACTCACCCTTGAACCTGTGCCCCCGGGGGAGGCGAAATCTGTCCGCCCCCTCCCTCCGTCCCTCGCCATGCCCACCTCCCTGCCGGCACCACGACTTTGAGGAGGGCTGTCCTTCCTGGGTGGGACTTTTCATCCTTGGACTGGAGTGCCTTTGTACGTGCTGGGGGACGTGGGGGGACCCTGGGAGAACCCAGACCTTCCAGAAAGCTGGGGCACATAAATACAAACCTAAAACCAGCCATTTCCTGCCAGCAGGCATCAACTGCCCCCACGGCGTCAGCCGTGGCCAAGGAGGCCGGCGTGGCAAGCTCCTGTCTCAGATCCGGCTGACGGCAGGAGTAGGGAGGTGTCCGCGTCCTTCTTGGCCCCCCTCACTGTCCGTTGCCCTCCCTGTCATCAAAGAGGTTGGGGTTCTCTGCCAACGTGGCCCGGACTTTCTTCTTCTCCTTGAAACGGCCCGAATTGGAGACTTTGACGTGCTTGCCTTTTGTATTCTTGTCCACAATCTTCTCCAGGCGGGTGTTAAAGTTGCCGTTGGGGCCCCCGCCCTCGGGCCTCGGGGCCTCGGTGCTGCCCTCCGTTTGAGCATAGGTGTCGGGGATCTCATACTGCACCTTGGGAGCTGATTTCTTTTTCCGGAGGAAGGTCAGCTTCCACCAGCCGGCCTCGGTCATGGTGGTCCCTGGAGCCGAGAGGGGTGCTTCCTGCAGGAGCAGGGTGGGACAGTGAAAGGGGTCAGTGGGGAGAAAGGGGATGCCCTGGAGCAGCCCTCTCTAAACTCCTAATCATAGGCTATTTTAAGAGTCCAGGCCTGAGGGGCACCCGGGTGGCTCAGTCGTTAAGCGTCTGCCTTCGGCTCAGGTCACGGTCCCAGGGTCCTGGGATCCAGCCCCGCATCAGGCTCCCTGCTCTGCGGGAAGCCTGCTTCTCCCTCTCCCACTCCCCCTGCTGTGTTCCCTCTCTCACGTTCCCTCTCTCTGTCAAATAAGTAAAATAAAATCTTAAAAAAAAAAGAGTCCAGGCCCGAAAGGATTGAAGGTGGGGGCCAAATGAACCCGGGGTTCAGATAAGCGCTACAACAGGAGAAGAGGGGGGTCTGGGGAATGAGTGGCATCAGATGGACAGAAACACCCTGTGCATTTTGCCTAGAATTCATTACAAAATAAAGAGGATTTATGATTTAGAGAGTAATTTGGACTTCCCAGTGGGGACCAGGAGTGAAGGAGCTGTTGTGGTTTTTTTCTAAGCAGGAGGAGCCTCAGGGCAGGCAGGGGAAGTCCTGGGGACTGTACCAGCCTCGTGACCTCTAGCAAGGTACTTTTCTGGACCTCAGTGTCCTCACCTGTCCCTTTCCATGCTAACATTTAGCTCTAACGTTAATCCCTGCCCTCAGAGGGAGGCACGCTCTGCACAGTAATACATGATAACGGTAATAATTACTGAGGGACGGCTACTTTCCCCACCTAGCTTCCATGAGGACAGGAGTTTGCAGGGGAGCTGAAAATCTGGAGGGAGGTTTGGTGGGGTCACAAGGTCCACATGAGATACGGTTATCACAGGCCAGACTCTCCACAAGGAACCCAACGGAGGTGGGGCTTGGGGGCTGACATCCAGGCTTCTCCACTGACAAGCGATGTGCCCTGCGGTGATGTGGCCCCACATGGAGGTGGCCTCATCTTTTACTCATTTCCACAGAGGTGCTGTCTGAGTTAGTGGGAGTCCTGGGAGATGAGTCTGCTGGGACATCGTTGGCAGGTGGGGCGTGTAAGATGGAAGAAGGAGACAGCAGACTGGAGGAGTTCCGAGCAGCGGAAGGGCAGGCCAAGGGGTGAGAAATCAAGGCATCTCTGGGCCTGGAGAGGTCCTGGTTCTCAGGACCCTGCATGTGGCTGGGAAGGGTCCTGGGGAGGGGGCAGTAGCCCAGAAAGGTAGATGGTCGGGCGGCCCGAGCACAGGCGAATAGATTACCTCCTTTTAAAAACTGATAGTCTTAACTACATTTTCTAAAAAGACCAGGAAGAAATACGACAAATGATGAATAGTGGTTTTCTTTATGGGGAAGGAATAGAGGATGTTTTCTTCCAGTATTTCTGATTTCTAGACATTCCATAATGAGGGTGGATTTTTTTTTTTAAGAGGGGGAGCAAATCAGATTTGGGGAAAAAGAAAGCAGGATACTGACCTAGGCTTGGAATGGGTTGAGTGTCTGCCTCCGTGGGCCCCTTGCTGCTGTTGTCCCCTGTCCCTCCACATACTCGGCCTCATGCCCAGAGCGCATGCCTGATGGATTCCTTCCTACCTCTTGTATGGGAAGTAGATCCCACATTACTAGCTCTGTCCCTCCAGCTGAGTTCAAGTAGCGGGAGAAACCCAGGGGAGATCTTGTGCAGCTCCCACTTAGAAAGCGGAGGAGGGGGTGAGAGTGGCCGGGGAAATACTTTCAGGGCACCCCGGAGAGGCGAGTGCATGAAGGGGACAGCCTGAGAGTTTTGCTTTGGCAGCTTGCCCCGCCTGGGCTTAGCACAACCTTGCACAGAACTTGGTGTTCCGCTTCTGGAAGGAGTTGTGGGGAGGGCACTTGCTTGGCCCGTGGGTGCCACTCGCCTGGTCTGGGGCAAGGCCCATGACCCCACCACCGCCCGTCCAGGGTTGGATGGGAAGAACTCAGGGAGTGGAGGATCCGGCTCGTGAGCTGACAGTAACCATCTGACTGCCCACCTCCTTGAGAGGTCGTGCTTCTGCCCCTGCGGCTAAAACACACCTGCTTTAGCGGGTGCCACAGATCGGCATCCACAGGGCTTAACTCTCCTTGGAATGAAGGAAGTGACAGATCACCAGGAACTTATCAGTAAACCACAGAGAAACGGGAATAGCCCTCGGACCCTGCCCTGGGGCCTCCACCATGGCACGAAGGCATCTGTTGGCCTTGAACTCTAGTCTAAGATGCCTTTTGCTGTTCCTTCTGTCCGAGAGGACATAGAAGCCCCAGTAAGAGGTGTCTGCCCCTTTTCGGCAGGACTGACATATGAAAGTTTGAACAGAACAGATAAATTAGAGGACTATTTGTTTTACAAACTAACCGAACTATAAGATTCTTTTAAGTAGTGAGCCACGCCAAGGTAGTATAAAATCTGATTTGCTTTACATCAAAAAAGTGCTGTGATATCAAAAGCTATCGAAAGTTGGAAAGAGCACTAGAGCTACAACTGTATGCCCAGGCTGAGCCACAGAAGGCCGGAGGGGGCTGGGGCGGGGGTGTACTTGGGATTTCAAGCGGACCCAGCATTTAGTGACATGTGGTGAGCCGCGCCATCGGCCTGCACGGGCCCTTAGCTGGCCAAGCTGAGGGCTGGGCCCTTGCCCTGGGGCCCTGCAATCCGGGGGAAGATAGAAATCAGCCCTGAGGGTGCTAAATACACCTCTGCTCTTTGCACAATTTCAGAGCCCAGCCTGCCACCCCTCCCCTAGGACAGCCAGCCCTATGGCAAGCATGTGGCCAGCCCAAGACAGGCCCCACTGCCCCGGCTGAGTTCTGTGAACTACTCTTGTCCAGACTGGGCAGGGCCCCTTCTGAGCTGGAATGAGTTAACCATTGACTGTGTTGGAGGTGGCGGGCGGGGGGGGGGGGGGACGTGGCGGTGCAGAGGGGAGTTGAGGAAGCAAGTCAGCTTCTGGGCTTTAAGACAACACCCAGAACCCCCCAGCCCATATCCCTCCACAGGGCCCCTGATGGCACTTCTCCATTCTGGATAAGACTGGGGTACCCAGGAGAGGAACAGGGAGACGTCCCTACCAGATAGCCAGGAACATCCTCCAGGCTGGGGGGTAGGCTCCAGCTTAGCAGGCGTTAATGGAGAACTGCTCAGGACTAAAACTTTCCCAGAAAGAGCTCTGCTAGAGGCCTGGATTGACTCCAAGAGCCAGTGGGATGAGTCTGACTTCTGCCTGCCCACCTAGGGAGCCCACTTGCCTGGGCTCCCCTTCCCAGTTAAGCTTGTCAGCCACGGAGGCAGAACCGGGTGCCCTGACCGGGCTCTATGCCTTGGTTTCCCCACCTGCTCTCCCTCTTCCTGTACCTGTAATCCTGACTGTTTGGGCTGGAGGCGAGACCTTCCTCAGAGAAGGAGCTGAGTGTAGCAGCTGCTCAGGCGGGAGACTGGGAGAGACAGGGGTGCCTCCAGGGTGCCGCGCCAGGCAAGGCTCAGGCCAGGAGAGCTGGGTGGGAGCAGCTGCACGGCAGGTGCAAGAGAAACAGGTGCAGGAGCGGGTACCTGCTCCTTTGCGGCTCCGGGAGTCAAGGTGAACCTGAAACCCAGCCCCTCCCGGCTAAGTAAACAGAAGCAGAGGCCGGATCGGGCTGATGAATATTCATTACTCCAGAAATCCAATCCCAGTGCCCCTGCACCCACCCAGAAGCCAGGGTCCTCCAGGGATCGCCTCCGAGAGAAGAGGAAACCCCAAGGGAAGTCTGGAGCAGGGGAAACAAGGGAGCCTCTCTCCTGTTTCCCCATTCTCATGGGCCTGGTTGCACCCCACAGCCGTAGCCAAGGTCACCCTCACCCATTTCATGCCCCGAAGAGGCTCAGACCCTCTCCAGCACGTACCAGCTCTGAACGTTGCCCCAGGCACAATGGGGAAAGGGTTAAGCACCGTTGCTCCCATTGGCCGGGTGGGACGGGGTGCACCGCAGCTTCTTTGAACTCGGGAGCCGAAACCAGTCCCTGGTTAAACTGGTTGGCAGACCGGTTCCCAAGCTGTCAGCTCCACCCCAAAGCTCAATGCTCCTCAGGTGGGCACAGGGTGCACGGCTGGGGTTCCCTCCTGACCTGAGGGGCCCTTCCTCAAGTTGGGGGGTGCGGTGGTCACTGGCGCTGCCCTGGGCCAGCCTCTTGAGACCCAACCACCCTCAAAGAGGGGCAGGGGGGCATTTGTATTTGTGAGGTGGGAAGAGAAGGAAAGGCAAGAAGGCAGAGTTGTGTGCCTGTAAATCTGCATTAGTCCAGGTGGTTCGTGGCCTGGCGTGGTGTCCCGCCGGGGCTGCCTTTGCATCTCACTCCGGTTCACGTTGGCATTCTCTCTCCCCTAGGACAGGCATCCCTGGAGAGTGGGAAACATTTGCTGCACGATCAGCGTACCCACAGCTGCCTGTCCAGGGCTGCCCAGCTTTGATGCTCAATCCACCCACCTAGCTACCTTCCTCCGAGGACTGAGTGGGTATTTGCCAGGCTCTGAGTGAGGCACTGGGTGGAGAAAAGGCAGATGATTCCCCGTTTCCTTGGGTTCCTCCTCCCCTCAAACAACTCCCAAACTAACCAACTCTCATATATGTGTATGTGCACACATATATACATATATAGTATTGTAATGATCTAGTCATACATTTGGCTCCCTTAGAGAATTTTAGCTCCTTGAGCCAAGAATTATCTACCACTGATAGAGACCTGACATAGTAGGGACTTAACGCAAGCTTTAAACACAACACAGGGCGCCTGGGTGGCTCAGTTGGTTAAACGACTGCCTTCGGCTCAGGTCGTGATCCTGAAGTCCCGGGATCGAGTCCCGCATCGGGCTTCCTGCTCAGCGAGGAACCTGCTTCTCCCTCTGGCCCTCCCCCCTCTCATGTGCGCGCTCTCTCTCTCTCTCTCTCTCTCTCATTCTCACTCTCTCAAAATAA